AATATTCATGTGCAACCATATTTTGCAACCGGTTTCAGTTCGGTCTGTCAACGAACGAAAGTTGTTATGTATTTATACTTATATATATACTTACGCTCGTCCGATAGAAAGTCCTCTCGTTTCGTAATAATGGTATCCAACGAGAATGAGTGTAGTATATATCTGATCAGAACACATTTTAAAAAAACCGCGTTTGTTTGGTGTATGTTATTTGTGCACGACTTTGAGATGATAAAAACAAGCCTAAGATGAACTGGAATGGACAGTGTAAAGATATGTTGACACAATGAAACCGGTTGATTTGTTGCTGAAGCTTCTTCTCCGACCTGTATGTCTCCAAGTCACAAGTAACGAAAACGCTACAGAACCTCCGAATAACATGCAGAATAATTACACGCATGGAATCTGTTGGTTCACCGTGTTTTTCACTTTTTAAGGATTTTCTCCTACATGTGGCTTCTACTCACCTATAGTTAGGTTGTTGCTCCTGTCGCCCTTCACAGTATCCACACACCACCACACAGATCCATTGTCTGTTTGAGCGCCAATCCTGAGTGTTACATTGTGTTGGTTAAATCGGCAACTGGCATTGATACGTCCTGACAGGAATGTCCTGAAAGCGTCGGGGTTGATTTCATCATCTTCACACTGAGTGACAGACACATAGCGTGTACGTACGATGAGAGCACTGTTCCTCGACCACACTATGTCCCGACTACCTGCACTGCTGCTACACATCAGGGTGTAGGTGTTCCCTTCCGTTATCCTGATGGGGAATGGGGTCAGACGTAGTGAACCTGTCGGAGGAAAATCGCGTATTATATGTATAACAAAGACAATGGAACCCATCAATCACGAAGACCGGACGATGACTGTCAGGAACACCAATGTATTACTAACGCAACATTACTTCGTATTCATATTCTCTGTCAATACAATATATTAAACATTGTTACGTTGCTAAGTATTGTAGTACACTGTTCGACTTATATGTGCTATAAATATTTCCAACCATATGATGTTATCACCAGCAAGGACAAAACAAGTATGAAGGGAATTAATTTAGAGAACAATTTCAAAACAACAACACTTACAGACATACAACCATAATGGAAGCATAATTTAACGCCAATATAGAAACTTAAACATTTATACATACTGTTACAGATCGGTTAAATGGTGCGTGGATAAAAAGAATATTAGGCATAGTGTTGATTAAATATATAACGTCAACGCCAGAAAATACTGGATTATCCGACGAAACAGATTCCATTTGGTGTGAAAGGCAAAATAGCAGTAAAAAGCAACGAATGCTGACTGGTATGAACAAATTTCAGACCTGTTTGTTCTCATTATGTGCAATCACTGTCAGCGACACTTATGTACGACTTTATAAGTGCTTTACCTTCTTTAAATTATGCTGGCCATAGTAACCTCCGATGCTCGATAATTAAATTCCAATAATCATATTTACTGTATTAACAGTTTTGAGGTACTGTAGCGTATTTCTATTTTGAACACATATGTTCAATGTTAAAATGTCTGAATCGAGAGTTCAGTATTTGATAGCCAAGTATATTTCGAGATTATTTTGGTGCTGACATATTGATGCTCTTTTCATTTTTAATCACAATCATTTATAGTAACTGATGGTAAGTATTTTTTTCTTTCTTCCTGAAATCAAAATCATTTCCTCAGGGGTGTTTTTCATTACAGAAACGTTTTAATGCACTCTTCACTGGAAAATTAATTTAATTGCTATGACCGAATTCATGATCAGATGATTACATAAAGCCTACTCATGAGGCATCATCAGCAACTGTCAGTGTTAAACAAGTGTGTACATTGCAAAATCAGTCATGTGTTTAGAACACGACCTTGTGGAGCTCCCGTGGCTGTTAGTGGGTGAGTGGGTGAATTATTCACAGAAACCAATTGTGGCCTATATCTGGGAGTATACCTCGAAACACATGTGCTATCCAAACTAGACATATGAATGTTTCGCCATACTATAATCATCAATCAATATTTGTTGTCATAAAAGTCTCACATGCTCGCCAAAAACTATGTTAACCGATTCCAATGTCAGATTATCATTATTGGTTTGTCAGCATCATGTGTCATGTTCTTGGGTTGGTCATTCAAGACCTGCATCATTTAGGGTATTTCTACAACATAAAACTGACACTTCATGATGTACTGTTCTTTGCAGCAGTGTTTATGCAGTGGACATATGTTGGCCATGTACGACCAGTGTCTAACATACTACTCTTTCCAGACAAGCATTGCTATTTTGATATTTTTACCGTGAAAAGGCAGAGTTTCGTAAATTGATGAATGATGATACATACACCCCTCCCCCGACACCTCGACAAAAGAACACGAAAAAAAAAGAAAATAGAGAAACGCTTATATGGTTTTAAGGGATCAATTCGGCGACTTCTAAGGGCTTTAAACGCGATGTTTGGGACGTTAGTGTGTTTTTAACTTTACAAAGTGACACAGAGTGCGTGAAACGTTAACGGAGATGTCTTTGTGAGTGCCAGTTACATCAGTCGTAATGCCTGGTACTGAGTGCGGTGTAAACAACAACACAAACTGACCAAGCACAACACCTTCTGCCCTTGGAACCAACAAGCCCTCGGATGGCACCTTTTGGAATGAAAGTCCATTTTTTAGGAGCTGGCGTACTGGCTGTTAGCAGCATCAGGTATAGCACTCATTCTGTCGCCGAGACACACGGATCCGCCCATTTCTCCTTTGAAAAAGGAAACGGGATTCGCCACCCAAACAAACACGACGATTACGTTTGGGAAGCTACATGTACTTGTGATGTACCTTGTGATGAGTTCACTGCTCCCGCTGAAGTTGATTACGTTGAGATACAATAAGTCGAGAGTACTTTGGGTCGAACGTCAATGACCCGGATGTTACGATCCTGATGATGAGGGGTCTTCCTGATCATGAATGTTTGCTGGATGTTACATGTTGCCGATGCCGTATACAAACCCGGGACATTGCATGTGATTAACCAGCTTCAAGATCTAACAATTGTGCTGTTTCTCACTTTATGATTGAATCTTACTGAATCATAATGAATTATGAGTGAGTGAGTGAGTTTGGTTTTACGCCGCTTTTAGCAATATTCCAGCAATATCACGGCGGGGGACACCAGAAATGGGCTTCACACATTGTACCCTTGTCGGGAATCGAACCCGGGTTAATGAATTATGAAAACAACACGTGTAATGAACTTGTTCCAAGAACGAAGAATCATGTACATGTCAAAAGGCTTCGATATGAACTCTATGAAAGGCAAGATAGCCGTTTTGTGAGACTTTATCAGTGTAAAAAGAACATGTACATTATATTTTCATGTTGCAGTGCAACACGGATTCTTTCCTTCAATGAAATTTGCTTATTGTTACTTCGTATTGGAGATGATATTTTGATATATTCCTATTGCACAGTGAGATTGCGGAAAGGTTTACCCATTCGATTTATTTCAAAACATATGAACACCAGATTATGATAATTACATCCCTGATATATCCAGCTGGTGCTTGCAAAGTAGTGAACCTTGGAAATTGCTGATGTCTTGAGCTTGAGAGCTTGCATCATTGGATCTTTTTGTATTATATGCAAGATTTACATGTGTTTGCTAAAACGATTTACACAACAGTATACGCATGTCTATTTCTTGACGGTAATATTTTGTGCTTACAATTCTAAATATTCCCCTAGGAAATTATGTGTAGCTGAGAAGAGCTTACTTATTCTGCAGACTGACGTCATTTAGCGATGTCTCGTGCAAAAATGTTTTCATGACACGGGTATACAGACACGGGTATAATGACCTACATCACACAGCACGACTGCAACCCATTTATCTCCTTGTAAGCCCATAGCAGTTGAAGTAATAGGTGAAGGAGACTAGTAGCTATTTGTGTTTGTTTGTTGTTTAACGCCACACTCAGCACTCTACTCAACGGTCGGTAAATAATCGCGTCTGGACCAGACAATCCAGTGATTGACATCATGAGAATCGATCGCCGCAATTGGGACACGATGAAATGCATCAACCAAGTCAGCGAGCCTGACCACCCGATCACGTTAGTCGCCTCTTACGACAAGCATAGTCGACGTTTATGGCAAGCATGGGTTTCTAAAGATATATTCTACCCCGGATCTTCACGGGTCGACTTGTAGCTGTTGGGGTAATTGTGCATACAGATGCAAACCGTATATAAAGAGCTTCTGACAGGAAGTGACTCAACATTTTAAGAAGTATATCAGTGATAATCATTTCAGTTTCGGAATCAATGCTATCTGATGTACTAAAAACATTTTCGTTTACTGAAACAAATATAAAAATATCAACCCAATCGAAATTTCGAATGGTATAAGGAATTTGGATCTTTTGAATAATTCTTGGAATAGTCTTGCTTAATTAGGTACATACAATCTAATTGTGTTAAACAAATTCCAATTACAAATCAGTGCATTGTTTAAAGCTTTTTTTAATCATGTGTGTATAACTAAAGGTGAAAACTGGCTGGTATTCTCGTTTCATTGTATCTGCACAGGAAGACGACTGAGTCATAACTTTTAACGAATTGTGAGTAAGAGGTCATGAATAGAACAAAGCTAAATTAACCAAAGTTTACTTCTACAGATCATACACAGATATTGTGATGTCAACGTCCTTGATAAAAAAGATAGACATTAATCCTACCTGAGATCCTTATAAGTGCATTGTAACGTATGTATTAAATATTTTAGGAACCACAAATTGTCGTTTTATAAGTTCGCTATTCACTATTATATAACATATTCCCTTCGAGCTGACAGCTTTTTTTTAGTCCAATTGAAAAATAATTCAAGTGTGTCCAAAATTAATGGGGAAAATGTCTGAGACATGTCCTATGAAAACTACTTACATTGTACTCATGTGTACCGTATACGTAGAATATATTAAAAACCATCAAGCATGAACTCACCCGCTGCATATGTAGTGAACCCACAGGCCAACAACACAACTGTACGCCAAACATCCATTTCAACGAACACAGTGAGGGGTTACCGGCTATTTTACTTGGTTTTCCCTCCTCAATGCTGTTGATACCTCCTCATATGACGAAACTCTTCATTAATATTGAAAACGATGTACAACTAATGCATCTACCCCAGGCACAGGTTCCATAGGACGCTCAGGTCCGTGCAGGTTGTGTTCACCAGTGACTCCTGCATGTGTCGTAATTATGATGTAACACTGGGCACTGTTAGGCTTTAACGAGGTCCCAATACATGACTCTTACAAACTCACACACAAGTCCGTGTCGACAATGTAGCTACACCTGAAATACGAACCTGTGTTTGTTAGACCGGGAAGTGGTATCCACAGTCCACCGCACCTTCGGTAAACGATCTAAATATAGTCTCTGCTTTAATACCCATGTCACCTTAACATTACAAGCACTTGTTGGGTGTGTGAATATTACTACAACAACATATGACGTCCTGTAGATAGTCATAGGAATTGATACATTACATGCATTGCCATTGCTCATGATTGCCAGGCGTACACTGCATATTGACCGATATGTGGATCAAGTTACAGTGTCTGTACAGTGATGTATACATAACTCCCTGACAATGTTTTATAGTTACATAATGCTTCAATACAAAACTATTTCATGGTTGGTGTTGAAATTTCGTTGGAGCCGAGTCAATGGGGTCTCAGCTACTCCCTGCCTTGTTCTTGGTGTGTGTTATAACAGGACAAACCAGAGGTGAGTAGAGCAGGGTTATCATTTAACTAAGGGAGACAACTCGAAGATGTCTTGTTAAAAAAACCGCCACTAAAATAACACTAAACATGGTACATAGGTTCATACAAATTCTATGTTCCAAACCCTTAAATCATCTCTGTGTTTATACAAGAAACATGTAGAAACGCACAAGAAGTTCTAGTCTTTTACAAATGTCTGGGGTTTTTTTAAATTAATGTTTGTCATAATATAACATGTTCTTCCAGATATAGCTGCTTGAACAACATTCACTCACTCACTATACAAATCACCCTGCAACACTACACGCATTTTGAGACGATACATTTGATGATAAACAAAACTTGCCTTTCTCTCGTAATTATCAAATCTAAATATCAAATTATGTTGTCAGGTGCTTACACATGTAACAGCAATACAGAAAAAATGGTTTGAGGGAGGTAAATTCACTACCTATTTGCTAGCTCATGTTAAGTTTTGATAAGAATCGACCTCATTTCTTACTCTTTTAGTTTTACCAGGGGGTCAACCTCGGAATATGTAAATAGGGATAATATCGTTACACGGCTCCAATAGGTTTTTACAACTGACCACTTTTCCTCCATTATATTCTTGTAACAGAGTAAAAAGTCTACTGTGAGTCGATTGGTAACGTTCCAGGTAAAATCGACTTTTAACTTTGTGCAATTCGTATACAAAGTAATACTGATTTAATAATATGTACATATATTTCATACAGGTTTTCCCGACAGTCATCATGATCATCAGGAAGGCGGGATTTCTATATTGACTGGGATATATTATATTTGTAAACACACGACTGATTTCCCTTAACAGGTTCTCTACATCTGACCCCATTTCCAACAAGGATAACGGAAGGGAACACTTACACCCTGATGTGTAGCAGCAGCGCAGGTAGTCGGAACATAGAGTGGTCGAGGAACAGTGGTCTCATCGTACGTACACGCTATGTGACTGCTACTCAGTGTGCAGAAGACGTAGTAAACCCCACCGCATTCAATACATTCCTGTCAGGACGTTTCAACACCAGCTGCGAATTTGACCAACACAATGTAACACTCAGGATCAGCGCGCAACAAGACAATGGCTCTGTGTGGCGGTGTGTGGATGTTGTGAAGCGCGACAGGAGCAACAGCCTCACTATAGGTGAGTAGGAGGCAGATGTAGGAGTAAATCCTTGAAAGTGAAACACGGTGAATCAACAGATTCCATGTGTGTAATTATACTGCATGAGATTCGGATGTCAAACGAAGGCTGTAACTTGTGACCGGGAAACATACAGGTCGGACAAGACGTTTTAGCAACAAATAATTCGGTTGCGTTGTTTACATCCAAAAATGTTTACACGGAAGGTCCATTTCAGTTCATCTGAACCGTGTTGACATTATCACAAAGTGAGTGAGTGGGTATGTATGGTGTCATCCCCGTTTTAGCAATATTCCCGCAAAATCACGGCGGGGACACCAGAAATGGACTTCACACGTTGTATGTATGTGCACGTGGAGAATCGAATCCGAGTCTTCGGCGTGGTTGGTAAAGCAGGAGTGAATATTTGCAAGAAGTGGTTAATATCTCATTTACAGTAGCCCGGTTATAATACATTATATTATTGGTTGGTTCTACAAATGCAACTGAAGTATCAAACGAAAATTGATATCATCAGTTCAATGAACAAGGCGCGGTCTTAGCTGTTCGTCATATATATAACTACCCCCCCCCCCCCCCCCCCCCCCCCCTCCACCTCTCTCTCTTTTCTCACTCTCTCTCTCTCTCTCTCTCTCTCTAGATATATTTACTCTCTCTCTCCCTGTGACCGTATTGTAGCGTTCTTCGTCACCCCTGCCTTTCGTACAGACTAAAATGTCGCAGTCCCAAGTTCATCGCCTGCACCCGTGATGTGTTTTCAACACAATTTCAACACATTCGTGTCACAACGTAACAATAACAGTTTCATCAACCCATATGAATCTTCGGATCATCATGACATGTATAATATATTGGTGTTACATATGGAAGGTGGTGTTTCTAGATTGTCAGTCATCATCCGGTCTTTTGGAGGTGTTTCATTGTGTTTGTTATTGAATAACGGATATAATCTCCATTCTCTACAACTGTTATAGTTTTCGCCAATACGTAGCTCTTCACATACGATCGCGATTACAACAGACATGCATTACTCTTTCACTTTGAGTCCCATAGAACGAGCAGATATTGTATATTAGTGTCTTTAACAATTACTTTCTCCCTTTAGCCTTCCATTTCTCACAAACTTGGAACGTTCGACGAAACAACGATTCCATCGTAAAATAATATTGATCCTTCTATTATAATTTGTTAAATAGAGATCCTTTAGGGTATTGCCTATATATATTTCCTATTTCATAGGTATATATATTGTGTGGGTGTGGTCTTGTGTATTCACGTTTTACTTGCCAGATGTAGTAAACGCAGAAGAAAGTACTGCAGCGTCGCCCGTCACATTAATGACATCTCCGACAGCGTCAAGCGAAAGTAGAACTTCTGTCAGCGAAGGTAAAGTTGTTGTAAAAACATGTCTATTGAAAGATTCTACTTATTTACTTGACAATGTAACATTGCTCTATAACATAATGACGTACTGGCAGTATCAAATATTAATGTAAGTCAGTTTTCTCATATTTCAATAATGACCTTCACTGCTGCAGGCTTGTTGTTTTTTTCTCACTAACTGTAATGTAACTGTGCACATTGCTGGTCGCATCTGTGTAGCTTGGTCACTTTAAGGAAATACCTACAAATTGTGGTATGATATACGCTACAGCCCGAAAGTATTTTGTTTCATTTGGCAACAACCTAAATGTGAGCAGATAAGAGTGAAACAGAACGGGACATTATTTACACACATATATATATGTGTGTGTGTGAATATATACAAGATTGTCAATAGACATTGTGTATAATAGTTACAGAACGACGGTGAACGCATTCAGATGACTTACATTGTTTACAAATTATATTCCAAAATTAACGAATATTTTTAAGAATATTAACCTTTTGGCTTATTTGTTGTCTTTTGGTACATGAAGTTTGTTGTTTCACGCCGCACTCAGCAATATTCCAGCTATATGACGGCAGTCTGTAAATAATTGAGTATGGACAGACAATGCAGTGATTAACATCATGAGCATCGATCCAAGCAATTGTGATACGATGACATGCATCAGTCAAGTTTATTTAGATGATGTGTGAAGTATGGTGGCAGATATCGAATGAGTTCGTTACTGCAAAAAGTACAGTTACAAATATAGACGAATTCTTCTCCAATATGCCTTTGATTACGGAGTAAACAGTTTCTTTCATACAATGGTACTCTTCTCCATCTGCCAGTTTCTCCTGGAAGCCGATAATTTGATAGTCTAGACATTTAACCTCCGCCAGCGGAGATGTGTGTAGGTCCTCGTTCACTGATGGATAGACATGAAGACAAAATCGACAAACTATTTCATAAAGTTGATTATTTAAGTAAAGAATCTCGTTAAGAGAAAACAAGTCCTTAATAATTTGACACTACACTCTTCAAAAAAAAGAAACGCACAGGTAGCATGTAGTTCATTGAACTTGACTACACAACAAATCCGGTTTATAAATTGGATGTTTGTTATTGGAAAATGTTGGTGGCCTGATATTCGACAAACGGTGCGTCAAAACGCAGCTATTGTCGATTTGCAATGTCTTAAACGGCATTGTTTTCACACTTGTTAAAACATGTCATAGAGTAAATCAGTAGAGTAAAATACACGTGCAAGTTATGGCATTCGTAAGTCGTGGTAGTGGCTATAAAAAGGCAAGCATAAGCCACTAAATTGTCAACATTTTTCGAGTTCAAAAATGCCGAGAACATCGCCATAAGACGTATCTAAAGCGGGGAATCGCAGTCTTCTGTTGCACGCCACTTCAACGTCCACCACAGCACCATTTGCCGCCTTTGTGACCGATACACACAGTTCAATTCCACTGCAGACAGTCCAAGAACCCGCCGACCAAGAGTTACCACCCCTGCACAGGATCGCTACATTCGACTGTTCTATCTACTTCATCTCAAAGCCACAGCTACGGAGGCTGCTGGATGCATCCCTGGTTTGAGGAGGATATCGGACCAGACTGTCAGGAACCATCTTCACGAGGCTGGAATCCGACCCAGAAGACAGTTATCGTTCCTGTTTTGCAGCAGATCCATCAACAGCGACGCATGCGTTGGGGCCATACCTTACAGCCTAGGACATTCAGAAACTGGAGATGGTTTAGCTATGAATCGCGATTTCTTCTTCACCGGCGAGATTGAAAACAACGTGTTTATTGTCGTCGAAATAAGCGTTTTGCCCCACATTGTGTACGTGAATTCGACAAATTCGGTGGCGGTTGTGTCATCGTGTGGGGGGCCATATCCTATGCCACGAGGTCGGACTTGGTTGTAGTTCAGGGAAATGTGACAGCAACTCGCTACATGAATCAAATTCTTCAACCTCACCTTCTTCCACTCATTGACCGCCAGAGGGAGCTGTTTCAACAGGACAACGCTCCACCGCACACAGCTCGTATCATGGTAGACTACCCCCTTAGTGCCAACATCAACGCCTTGCCCTGGCCTTCGAGATCTCCATATCTCAACCCAATCTAACACCTCTGACTTTTTTAGGTACAATAAATTTCCGAAAAATCTACCTGTGCGTTTCTTGTTTTGAAGAGTGTATATGTTGAAACGCCGTAGGGAAACGTTGACAAAGTCTCCTTGCCTGACCACCCAATCCATTAAGTTGCCTCTTACGACCCGCATGTGGTGATGGGAATCTATTCTAATTAGGCTTGTAAATGTACATAAACTATATACAGAAACTAATCAAAATTCAACTTTTTTTCGCAGCCAAATGTGACGCTCTGAAACAGAACTGTTTACGAATGCTTTTAACTTCCTATCCTGTTCAAATGTCTGTTGAGAGGGTATTAGTATGGATGTAAACATGTAAACGGATATAATGCATGCAATGTTTCCAATGTTTTGGATAATGTGTTTTTTAATTCCATACGTCATCTGTTGTAATGTCTGATGTTAATTTTGCAAGAGGTGATGACTGTACCAACCACCTCTTCGCCAACTTCCGTCACTTCATTCATAGAAAGAACCACCACAAACACAGGTACGATGCTTGCAAAAGCGCCACGGTGAATGCATGTCTATGAGTGTTGAAGAGAACAGTTTGTCTATTAACCTGATGTATGAATAAAATATCAATAAACTATTGACATGTCAACACCAATTCAGGAGGTAAAATCAAGGTAGATGTTTACACCACACACCTTATATTATTATTAAGTAAGGTGTTCATGTTATCTACACGGAGTCAAAATGTTCAAGTACCTCAATACCGCAACCTAATAACCTGAAACTTACTCTAGTTAGCAATTTAAAACATGTATTAGATGAACATGGAAAATAACCCGTATACTATTATATTTTTCATTTCAGACATTTTATGTTAATATTTCCATTTTTAGAAGAGACACCGAATGTCGTCTACATAGACATCGGAGTTATAGGTGGAGCTGTAGTTGGCTGCGTCATCACCGCCGCAGTCATCATCGCGTGGACGAAGAAGAGAAACATAAGAAGAGGTAATATAAACAATGCATCAGTAATAAATTAACTTTGTGCTAATATATCGGTGAAATGTGGTCCTGGACATGGTTCTCTTCTGGAAACACGCACAAGAAATGGCTAATGTCAGCTACGAGATAGAAATGGCTATTGTCAATTGGTACACTGGTCCCTGCCAAAGAACGTGGTCTCTCTATAATGAGGGAATGTAATAAATGCACGCAACTAAACATATACTAGGAATCGAAAGTTAAGTGTTGTGTGTATATATTAATTTACATTACACTAAGCGCTTGCCACCTTAATGGGTAAAGCGAAAGATTTAATATCACATTCATATGCGCACATTTTCACTAAGGGGTATTTTTGCATTACGTATGTAAACTTATACACGTATGTAAAGGGCATGTGAACGCAATTGCATACATGTGTAAATTTTCTAACTTGTCTAACTTGACACATATTCAAGGTGATCGTATACAGACAAAAATGATTGTGATATATCGGTTCACGTGAAAGCATTATACATGTCGTATGAGTACATAAATAGTTTGTATTGTGCATATGAGCGGGTTTATAAACAGTTATGGAATTTCTCTTACAACATGGCATATCGCCATAAAGGGCGGCGTGATAGCTTTGGTAAAACCTACCCGCGTGGGTGTATTACATGACAGACCAAGAGTCATACTGAGTGGAACCAGGAATTCATCCCCACGCACATGGGATCTTTGCACAGCCTAGGGGCGTAACGCTGCTCATTGAATTGTGACACCTCAGACAACTTTGCCCACTTCCCTCAATCTCCATGTTACCTAAAAACACAGGATGGAATGGTAATGTCATCCGATGTCATTTGCTATATAATATACTCTAAAAAGTGTCTGAGTCCGAGCACGTCGACTTCTGTGTAGACAACATAGGGCTGAACCATTAAACATGTCGGTTATTGGGAACATGTTTTATGACTGACATACATTGAACACACATTTGACGACAGCAAACAGACTGGGAGATCATCAACACCGACACTGTCTCTCTGGGCAATTCCAAGGGGATGTGGAAGTAGTCCAACATTGTCTAGAGTTTTCATCTTCTCTAGAATTCAGTGAAACACTTTTCGTTTCAAAACGGGTCGTTCCTTTAAAAAGGAACGTTTGGCGTTTCGTCCAATGGAGATGGCACGTTTCCTTCAACATTTTCCTCTCAAAACATGTTCACCGATAATGATACATTTACTCTCTGTTGACCCGTCAAGACAATTTCAGAGTACTGTATATGAAATATTTCACATTTTCAGAAGACAGCATCAACACACCAAACATCTACGATTCTGCCTCCCATTATGAAGACATGGATCACCAGTACGGCAGTGTAGAGAAGCAGTACGTCAACACTGTGGAGGGTACAGCGGCTGATACTCCAGATTATGTGAACACAGATGAAGACAAGCGGGATACAGCCTACTACAACATGACTTGAAGGTCCCACGAAAACAGGAGACACCCCTCACCATTGCACTTGATAGAAGGATTCTGTGATGTTGAAGTTTTGCGATCATGATGATGTGAATGATCTAGGCAATGGTTAAAATGTAATGTTCTGGAATATTCAATATTTACATGACAAATACCCGCAACTCTCTACATAATACATGTACATAATACACGTATTATACACATCATTGTTGACGTAATGCAGGCACCATTGATGATATGACTCATACATCATTCTTAACGTAAAATAGATATCATTGTTGATGTTATATTGATAACATTGTTGACATGATGCAGATATGATGTTAGTGTACTGGAGGCACCATTGTTGACGTACATTGTTGCTGTCATGTAAACACCATTGCTGTGTAATGCAGACATCATTGCTGTTGTGATATAGACACCATTGCTATGTAATGTAGACACCAGTGTTGTTGTTGTAATGCAGACATCATTGCTGTTGTAATATAGACATCATTGTTGTTGTTGTAATGTAGACACCATTGTAATTTTAATGCAGACACCATTGTTGTGTAATCCAGAGATCATTGTTATTGTAATGCAGACACCATTGTTGTGTAATCCAGAGATCATTGTTATTGTAATGCAGACACCATTGTTGTGTAATCCAGAGATCATTGTTATTGTAATGCAGACACCATTGTTGTGTAATCCAGAGATCATTGTTATTGTAATGCAGACACCTTTGTTGTGTAATCCAGAGATCATTGTTATTGTAATGCAGACACCATTGTTGCGTAATCCAGAGATCATTGTTATTGTAATGCAGACACCATTGTTGTGTAATCCAGAGATCATTGTTATTGTAATGCAGACACCATTGTTGTGTTATCCAGAGATCATTGTTATTGTAATGCAGACACCATTGTTGTGTAATCCAGAGATCATTGTTATTGTAATGCAGACACCTTTGTTGTGTAATCCAGAGATCATTGTTATTGTAATGCAGACACCATTGTTGCGTAATCCAGAGATCATTGTTATTGTAATGCAGACACCATTGTTGTGTAATCCAGAGATCATTGTTATTGTAATGCAGACACCATTGTTGTGTTATCCAGAGATCATTGTTATTGTAATGCAGACACCATTGCTGTTGTAACGCCAACACTATTGTTGACGTAATGAAGATGTAAATGTTGATATAATTCAGGCAACATTGTTGACGTAATGCAGACACCATTGTTCAACAATCGGTCATTGTCACATCAAATTTGATACCCATGAAAGAAACTCTAAAAACATCGGTTATAATCATTGATTGCTCCTTAAACGCATGCTATCACAGCTTTTCTCTATTAAGATATTTTTGCCGAAGAACTCACCGTGTTTGCGGTTAATGCAATGTACGGCGTGTTATTGTTGACATAGATGTTTCAGAAGTATTACACTGCCCAGGGCGCTCTCAAAATTAGAAATAGGGGGCTCTTATTAGAATATGATTTTGGTGAGAAAAAAAAACAGAGTTGAAAGATCGTAAATGTCGTGGTTTATACTGACAGGCTGAAATGATACAAAAGAAAAGTCTGTGCGTATTATACACAACAGACATATTTCCCTGTATTTAATTGCCAAACATTAAGGGTGCATATAACACATGAGTGCTTACATATTATTCATGAATAAATAAGTCTTGTGTACATTGATCAATCGGAAGGGGTGCTAATTGGGATTGTTCACTAGCCAATGTATTAGCAAATATCGCCGTGGGCGTTTATTAGAGCAGGGCGCTTATTACGTCGAATACGGCAGGTCACAAACATACATTATTCACTCTGTGCTTTGATAGATGAGGAAAGAGTTTTGAATTATATCATTATCTGACTATAAAACATGACCCAACCGCTTATCAGGTAGTATGCATAAAGCACTGAGTATGAATATACACCGTTACCTGCACCACACGTAGTAGAATATGCAGTGTATGTCTATCCATCAAGTACTATCAACTGAGTGATATATATACCCCAAACTACTTAACTCGCAATAATTTTGTTCTCTTTTTTTTAGTTGAAATGACATTTGTGATTGTGACGCGATGCTACTATTATGTTTCAAAGAGTATGGGTTTAAAGATCATTGAGGCAATAAGCGTTTCCTATTGGATTTTTTTATGGTATGAAACAACACATTTTGTTATGAATAAAGCCGTGGGTTAATGCGATCAGGCAGAAGCGACCCGCTAATGGCAACAGAAACCTACAAAAGAAATGCCACGCCCATCATCTCAATGTCTGTATTACATTCTGGGCGGCCAGTAAAAAATCAAGGTTGGATCAGACAAACCAGTGGTTAATATTATGAGCAACGTCAATGACCGTCGGGGTACGATGACGCGCAATCAACCAATACCGACATTGACCACCTGATCGATTTTACCGCTCCTGGCGACAAGGATAGGATTCATTATTTGCACCACTCACTAAACCGGAATAGGTTTCGTTGAGCAGCAAGACATATAGTCCTTATTATCATATTTTAGATATTCATAATCATTCCGCGCGACATTGTTTGTATTAACATACATAGCCATTCCTTACCCTAATTTATGTTGTATATATTTGTGTGTCATATCAAACCCATTCCGGGTAGAGGTTAGAAACTTGAAACATCATGAATTGTAACAAAATGTCAGTCACCATTCAATGATTTCTGTGTAGTATCTTGTTTGAGTAGTTTTGTAAGATAGTCATACCAAGCTATGAAACGTGACACAATCACGTGTCAGGTAGTATGCATAAAGCACTCAGTATAAACAGACTGCCATACCTAACATTTATATCGGTGTACGTCATTACTAACGGATTCGCTCCCTCTTTACATCCTAACTTGTTTGGAAGGATGGCAGATCCACACACACCACCATGTTTTCTTGCAATCAGTACACAATATTCTATGTGCAAGCACAAGAGCATAAGTCAAACCTGTTTGAATGTCAAGGCAACTTGGGAAATAGAGCAGGGATTATGTTTAGATTGTTGGGGTGGGGTGGCTGTAGATACTACTTCCTCGTCAAGCAACAAACACAAGGTCATGATTCAAGTGTAGCTGCATTGTCGACACGGCGTGTGGTTTATAAGAGTCATGTACTGAGGTGTCGCTAATCGTATGGACAGTGCCAAGTGTTACAGCATCATTACGACACATGCTGGCCTCAGTGGGGAACACAATCTACACAAGCCAGAGTGTCGGATACCTGTGACTGGGACACAGATACCTTAGCTGTGTGTGTGATAGTACGTCAGTTCAATAGTATTGACGAGTTGAGGTGTTTCGGGACGATCAGTTGCACTGAAAAGGATAAAGCTAGCTGCTGGGATGTGACAAAGCCATGTTGACAATAAACATGCTGTGAATTCTAAGTAATATAACTGGTTTCTCCTGGCTGTATGGACATGGATGTTCCACTTACACTCGTGTTGTGGGTGTGTGTGTTTACGACATACACAAAGGGTGAGTTGAAGCTTATCTTGCAGCATGGAGATGTGTGTCTCAAATAGGAAATCAATCATCCCTCAATGCCTTTGCGGAATGGTGTTTATGTGTGAAGTAAGAATAAGACACCTCTGATTCAAGAAGTAGCATCACCACGAAAGGAAGTATTTACATATTTGTTGAAAACTTTCTTCCAATCATTTGCTCGTCGTAAAGGGATAGGTTGGTCAGACTCGCTGACTTGGTTGATGCATGTCATCGTACCCCATTTCTGTAAATCGATGCTCATTCTATGAATCACTGGATTGTCTTTTCGAGTCGACTATTTACAGACCGCCGTCATGCACTGTAAAGCTGGAATATTGCTGAGTGTGCATGTGGCGTTAAGAATACCCACAAAAAATTCAGCTTATAAACCTGTCAATTAAAGAAGCTCGGCTACCATCATCTTGTCTGGAATGTGCCTTACTGACTTACTGAAAATAATCATCTCGAATACTGAGAAACGTATTAGTTTTTAAATTCCGTTTTAAGTTGAATACAGCTGAGTAGTAAGCATCAGGGTACATGGGTTCATGTTCCATAAATTTAGTTTGTGGAAAAAAACCAGCAAACTTTTGTTAGTGGCATATTCAAATCAGGAGAAAAATGTCAAAAATGTCCGCGCATTGAATACTCAATACAACCGGCTAATCTTAAAACACACAATGTATACTGACCTTGTGAAATACAAAAGTTATCAGTCATTTTCTGAATGGCCATGTGACCTCTCACAGACGTGACGTCACGCTTCAATGGTATGACGTCACCTGAAATGCTTCCATAATAACTAGACCTATCTTGTAAGCAGAGTCGCGATACAAACCTAAGTAAAGAAGTTGTTCACATCTACGATTGCTTGTTGAACGGGGCCCGTGGGATTTTGGGGCTTCAAATCCCATGTAATCGTTTCTCAACCAAAGGGATTACAGCACACGCTGCCATTGATGGTACAATGTCGCCTACTCCGAAAAATGAATTTAACACAGGCAATGCTCATAATCAGGGATTCCAACAGATCGTGATATCCTTGCACGGCTAAGGGACACAACTCTACGCACACTGTGAGAATTAGTCTCGATATATCATTTTCAGAAGTGTAATATGCCAGTCAGACAAGGAACATGGGCGCATGTTGTTTTGATAACATGGGAAATGCAGGAACATAATTACTGTTATATTTTATTTTAGTTTACTACGGACTTCACAACATGGAGAATATGTGTAAACTGTCACTTTTTGTTTCAAACAAGTCGAACACTTCTGTCATATGGACATTGTAACATACTTAACATAATATACATGTATGTGCTAGATGTTGTATTGTATGACTGTACCAACCCTGTTGTATTGTATGTATATGTACGAAAGGCCTATGGCCAATATAAACCAACATACACGTGAAGAGTAGCATTCCAAATGTCTAACTAATTCATTGGTCGGGGTGTCAGTTGAACACAATCATCGCTCCTCGATCACAGACCTCGCACCCCGACCAATGAATAAGTTAGACATTTGGACACCTGATACGTTTCTTGAAAATACTGAAGAAGACGCAAATCATGAATTTTAAACTTCTGAACATGTGATCGAGGAGCGATGATTGTGTTCAACTGATGTGGCATAGGAATGAAAGGGGGAGATGTAACAATCCTGCAGCTCGCAATTTTACGTTTTTATTTGCTACAGGTTCGAACTCCCTACAACTAACAAGTTCTCCAGCAACAGCATCGCCAGGCCAGCCGTACACCTTGATGTGTAGCAGTAGTGGCAGTGCTGGCAGGAGTAGAGCGTGGTACTGGAGGACTGATGTAATCTTTCGTACACGTTATGTATCAGACACACAGTGTCCAGTAGATGTATCCAACAATGACGTGTACAACCATCTGTCAGGGCGTATCAATGTAACCTGTAGTTACACCCAGCACAATGTGACTCTCAGGATCCTCACTCCCACAGATAATGGATCTGTGTGGTGGTGTTGGGATAGTCAGAGTGATCAGGAGAGCAACAGATTGACAATACGTGAGTATGTTATGGTTTGTTAGTAAACAGCTTGGTTTTAGACGTAAACTGAGCTTTTACTGCGAGACATGTGTTCTCTCAACATTACACACGAGAATAAATGGAATAAACTTCAACAACCAATTTTGAAATTGTAATCCTTTATTTTGCGCGTGTGCGTGGCTGATATATATTTTGGTATAGCTTCGCCATCACAATTATTATGTATTGATGAATTATGGTAATATAGGTGTGATCGAAAAGCTGAGGAAATGTCCAGGATTGCTTTAAGCAATATTAATTTGTTAAATTGCAGAAAATTAAAGTACCTCAACAGTACCTCTACTGTGCAATACTGGGTAATAGTTTAATATACCTTGGTGTATTACTGATGAAGGCTAAGTTTTGAAGTACACCTAACACAGTTTATCTACCTCACCAAACTTTTCAAATGAGAATAGTATTTTTTTAGAATGCTCACTTTAAGCATTGGAGTTCAATTTATTTATAATAAAATTACAACCCACAACTCAGATTTTATATTTGTACTACTTTTCATAGAAAACGGCTTTTTTAATTTAGTTATGGATAATCAGTGCACACGGAAAACTGTGAATGATGCCGAGCTTTAGCGAAATTAACCTACTTTCAGTTGTAAGAGGCTCAGACTGTAACTCTTTGTGTTTTGATCACATGATGAAAACTATATATTCACCCTCTTATGTGTATTTTGTGTGGTTGAAATGTTTACAATCTCAACATCCTCACGCTCTAAACTTGCTTAAAAAATCAGCACTTTCATACACTAAAGTTATCTGGAACCAAAGCATGTTCAGAAGTTTTAAATTCACGATTTGCATCCTCTTCAGTATTTTCACGAAACTTAACAGCAAGGAGTCCAGGGTGTCAAAGGGAACCCAACTCAGTTCAATTAAGTGACAGTCTCAATCCACCCAACACATCATGATGTATATTAATAAGGCCGAATGAGAACAATAAACAGCAAACGATTTTGTATTTAAATGACTTTTTTTAGTCGAAGATATTATTAAACTATTAAAATTTGATCGATCACTTACAGACAGTTTCACCTTTATACTTGAAAATTTCGTCACACAATTGTCAGCCTTTTTTGTGATTTCATAATCCGATGACAAAATAAAATCTTTAAGAGGAGGATATTTTCAAATTTGACGCACGAGCTCGATAATGAGTCCGATGCAACTCCCTATTTTGAACAGGACCACATGTTCCCGTGTCAGATGAAAAATCGTTTGTTTGTTTGTTTGTTGTTTAACGCCGCACTCAGCAATATTCCAGCTTTATGACGGCGGCTTGTAAATGATCAAGTCTGGTCCAGACAATCTTGAGATTGACATCATGAGCATCGATGAACGCAGTTCGGATACGATGACATGCATCAACCAAGTCAGCGAGCCTGACCACCTGATCTGGTTAGTCGACTCTTTCGACAAGCAAAGTCGACTTTTACAGCAAGCATGGGTTGCTGAAGACCTATTCTACCACGGGTGAACAATTGATGAGCCTTTGCACGTGTTTGTGACATAGGACAGACTACACTCACTTGGTATCGTCACTATTTGATAATTATTCTTAAACACATGCTCATGATATAGTCGGAATCGTACAATGGTCATTGCTTTAGCTATGACTTATTATGATTATGGAAATAGTCTTGTCACTTTATTAAGATTCATCTCACCTCACATACTCTTGAAGGTGACGTTACTTCCACATTCTTAAGATCCGCAGTGAATAAACGCGACAAAACTGACTAGATTGTACTATTTCGACAGTTTTACATACTCCCGCACGTCCAAGGGAATTACCTATCGAGTGCCATCTTTTAATATTATATGTCCCACATTTTCCGTCAACTTGTTTAAATTCATAAGTGGAAATTATGAATATCTCTATATCATAACCACGTTAAAATGTTAAACAGTTCAAAACACACTTAGGCATGTAAAGGCATGTGATGTTCATGTTGTTATGTGGTGAAATCCTTGTCTCTTGCATTATGTGTGGATCCTTAATACAAACTCTTTTGTCATGTTTAGGTTGGTTGGTTGGTTTGTTGTTTAACGCCGCACTCAGCAATATTCCAGCTTTATGACGGCGGTCTGTAAAATAATCGAGTCTGGTCCAGACAATCCAGTGATTGACATCATGAGCATCGATCCACGAAATTGGGATTGATGACATGTATCACCCAAGTCAGCGAGCCTAACCACGCGATCCCGTTAGTCGCCTTTTACAAGCATAGTCGCCTTTTACGGCAAGTATTGGTTGCTGAAGACCTACGCTACCCCGGAATCCTCACGGGTCTGTCATGTTTAGGATTTAATTACAACCCTAAGCACATTTAGAGCTACACACCTTAACACATTTGCTGATGCTAAGCTTATCGCGCACCTTAACGTTTTGACGTTGATACTCCAAATCCATTATGAAACATATATTTGAGAAAAGGCACAAATCACCATCATTGTCATTACGCTAAAACATAACATTTGAACATTTTGATACCACGGTCTAGTCATTCTAGTTAATCTAATCTAATTAATGCCAGGCGATTTAATCCAAATGACATAATTTTCCAGACGTAGTAAACCTTACGACAGAGTCATCAACAACTACGATTGCAGCAACTTCAGCTACTGCAGCTACTACAACAACTACAGCTACTACAGCAAACTTTGATATCTCCACAAGCACGTCTCTTCAAGGAGTGGGTGAGATACAGTGTTGTGCTTTTCTATTCCATAATAGAACCTAAAACATTTAACATAAAAAACTGTTTTCCCCTTGAAATATTGCGAAGGTGAGATTAAGCGATACCTACTTGGTGATATCCCTGGAATAAAATTGCATTACAATGTTATGCAGACTAATATGACGTCATCAATTACTATGACGTAACAGTCATATGACATCACTGGTCTCTATGCTACTAAGACCGCTTCCGTGGTCTAGTGGAAGAGAGTCCGCCCGGAGAGCGGAAAGTCCGGGGTTCGATCCCCGGCCGCGTCATACGAGAAGACGTTAAAAGATAATACTTGTTGTTACCCTGTCTGGCGCTCGACATTAAGGAGCTAAAACATAGACTGCTCGTCTGTATACTGTGTCTTCATGTTAAACTGCGGCATGGTATCTCAGTGAGCAAGCACTATAAATTGGCATCAGTACAAACAGCCACACACACGCGACGTTAAATCCAATTTCACCTCACCTATGCTACTAATCATGAACCTGGTTAGGAAAAATAGATTCAGTGAAATTGCATAACAAAGTGATGCCATCGTAATATGTTACCTCAGGAGAAAACACATTAATAATTACATACGTTGAAATTAAACATATCCAGCACTCACGACATACACTGAGTAGGACGTGCTAAACTACCATTAATAAGATACAGACGTGTATTTATATATTATATTTAGTTACAATGGTTTAAATTTAGGAAAACTTTCTTTGATCATATATGTCTCCCTTTTTCATAAGAATATCATCTTTTTTTTACTGAAGTTGAAAATCATCCCTACATCTGTTTTGATCAAATCTATGTCGATGATGTTCTTGATGATGAAAAAATGATATTATGGTGTCATTTGTTCTCACAATTGAATCGTCTTCAAGTGACTTGGTTAATATAGGATCCATCGTGCAGTACTTATGAGTAAGTCTCCTCTTGTGTGCATCAATATTGTTTTGTAAGTATAAGAAAAGCATAAAATTGGTCAAAATAAAGCAAAAGCATTATTTCAGACAAGCCATTTTCAAAGCACAAATCAGTCGAAGATGTATTCCATTCAGACGTCCTAATTATATACTTGTAGGATACTTGATATTTCCTGAACAACTGTGAACCTCCAAACAATTGTTTGCCCTGATTCGCATGTGGCCCTGTCATGATAGACCTGTAGATATGAACAACTTTAAGTCGGTAACATTTCTGAACACAAAATATACATGCCAAAACATCAAATTCACCTTCAATTGAAAACAATATATTCATTTAGTGTTGTTTGTAATCATTAATCGTATTACGTTTGTTTACACACATCTGTGTTTCTGTAAAAAACAATTGCACAATATGTACATGATACACACCTACCTACAGCGTCTCCTGCGGACCATGGGGCTTGTGAGAAAACAACATAAGTTGATGGTGGATGGACCAACACTTGCTCTTTCGGTTTATTGGTGTGCATAGCAAACGTCACACCCAAAGAAGCCACATCTGTTCCATTTACGTGTGAACATCTACAAACACTGATGATTGCATGTCCGTTTTTCTTGTCTTAAAATGATTATTTTGCATGTATTTATTAGGGACACAGAACCGTCACATCAAACATCTATTGAATGCAAAACATATATTGAATCCACAAAGAAGCATATACAGAGTTACAGTATTATTAGTTTTTAAATTTGTTTTAGTATGTCCACTTTGCAAAGATGCACCAAACGTCGTCTATATTGCCGTAGGAGCAGCGGTGGGTGGCATTCTTGTTGGTTGCGTCATCACCATCATCGTCGGCATCATATGGATGAGAAGGAGGAACACCAGTAAAGGTAGGAAATATTTAGACTGTGTCATATACCACTGGCAAAATTACATTAAAACAATTGCACACTTGCAAGGACATGTATTTGTAATTGTGCTACCCTGAAAGCCGGAAAACCGTGTCAATATACTATTATTATAGTATTATCAACAAAACAACCGAAACGTATTGTATACGAACTATAAGACCTGGATCTTAAGCACAATCTCTTCCAGATTAATTTCCTTACGAAATAATAAATGTTAAAAGAGTGTCATACTACCATCACTGTTTCCTCTAATTCAACTTCCAGAAGACGATGCGAGCGCATCGAATATCTACACTTCCCCGTCTCATTACGAGGACATGGGCCACCAGTATGGTAAAGTGGAGATGCAGTACGTCAACACCGTGGAAGGTATTGGGAGTGGTTCCCCAGATTCCGTGAACAAAGAGGACCAAGCAGGTAACGCAGCCTACTACAACACAGCTGGCCAACATCAGCATCGTGATGAAGATGCAGATACAGGAGATACAACTTACTACAACACTGCACGTGATGCTGACAACTAGAAGCATACTGTTACACCACCGACAGCTGGCATTCCAGCTCTTATTTATGTCCGCGTAGAGGACATCCTGTTCTATAACAAAGCGGGTTGATGAATAAGCTTTCCTAGGAAAAGTAACTCGATTATTTAGAATTGATAAGATTGTGATACCAACAGAATAGCATACATCTGTTTGAAGCAACAGTCCATCTACCTTTTACCACAAGCGCTTCCTTGAAGCAGTGTATGTGTGTTTTGGGGTTTTGATTCTGCAATTGGCAGTGTTTTTCTTTTTTCTTTTTGTATTTTAGCTATTTTATATTCAATATAGTAAAGAATATTTTGAAAGTCGGTACAGAAAAAAGGATATAGAATGTTTCTGAGACGTTTTTCGGGTAGTTCAAAGTGATGTGAAGATAGGAGGAGACTGTATTTCAGTATAGGTAATTAAAGTATACAATATCTTCCAAACAAGAGGAAAATGTATTGCATTTTACAATTTGATTGAATGAGCTTATGACGCAAAGTTATTGTATGTCCCATTGGCTGATATGGTGATCTCGGGGTGGTTAGGATGTAAAATAAATAAATAGTGTTCTCCATGGATTGTTTGTTTTGTTGTTTAACGCCGCACTCACCAATAGTCCAGCTATATGACGGTGGTCTGTAAATAATCGGGTCTGGACAAGACTATCCAGAGATTGACATCATGAGCATTGATGAACGCAATAAGAATACGATGACATGCATCAACCAAGTCAGCGAGCCTGCCCACCCGATCCCGTTAGTCGCCTCTTACAAGTATGGTCGCATTTTACATCAAGCATGCGTACCCCGGATCTTCATTGGTCTGTACACAGTGGAACCATATTAGTATCCTAAATCGTGTTATGAAATGACACGTTCACTTAACATATGACAGGGGATCTAATATGAAGGTAGCGATTGATTGATTGTTCTGTTTGTTTGTTGTTTAACGCCGTTGTCAGTCCACAAACATATTTACAAGTTAATGAAATAATATATAAAAGTGAAACACGCTATTTACGGCAGTGGCACATAAAACATGAAGACATACGAAAGGATCAATTACATTTTCAAGCTGCATCTTCATAAAATTTATATAACTGACACATTTATTATACAACATTGATGATTACATTAGAGGGAAGGAAAATATATATGAAGGCAAACAGTAAGAGGGCTTTTGGGAAAAAATGGCAAGTGTGTCAAAGACGTCCTCCAAACCAAAAGGGCACCACACGGGTCCTAGAGGACAAGCCTTCATAGACGACCCCATCGACAGGGGCAAAGGTTCGATTAAAATGGACACTAATTACTTCAAAAGTGAATGTTTACCTTCATGACGAACGTCACATTCCATGACAGCCTCTAGATCCAGGCAATCACTGATAAAGATTACAATTTTGGCTTTTGTCGTGTTCCGGATGGTTCTCCATTGACGGCGCAGGTCATCATCAGCCTGAAAATGCAAACAACTACTGCATTAATATACTCCTAAACATGGAAATACAATAAATACCAATGAATACAAAAGGTGGTAATAATCCTTTATGTAAGTGAGTGAGTTAAAATTTTACATCGCATCGGCAATATTGCAGCCATATCGCGATGAGAATAAGGTAGTTACTATAATTTAAGACCTGTCGACGGAGGACAGTAAAACAGAAAGGTAATATCACAGTTTAGATGTAAAACAAACCTAAGCAATATTAAAACAAAGAATATGTCCGTAGATTAGTTCCTATAAATTAAAACCAGGCTATAGACCACTAGCAACCAAAGCTAGACCACCTCACTGGGAATCATGGGGACTTACGGTGCTTTTGCTTCCTGCATGATTCCCGGCAGGATTTATGCCATCACTTTGGTCAACATTGGTTGTGTGTAATACTTACCAATATTACAAATAGAAGCACAACCAATACATTAAAACACTAGTTGATATTAATCACTTCAACATTTGATGGACTCACGTGCCACTGTCAGGGGGACAATACTTTTACACTACGTTAACCCCCTGAATATTCAAAATTCAAAATTTATCAAATAGTTCTATTTCTTTTAAAAAAAATGAGAATTAAACGAACATTGGTATTTATAAAAAGATCCTTTAAAGACGTTGAATGATAGTATTTATCCCTTGAGGGAGAAAAGTCTACATTCAAGCAAATTATTCTTAACTGTAATTCTCTCATCACAAGGGACACAAAACGGAGGATCCTCACCATTTAAGAGATATTCATGTATGTAACGACTTTGGCCAATGCTACATCTTCGCAGAACAACCTAGTCATTTCTGGACTGAGACTCCAAGTAGGCGTAAACTAATTGAGGTTTAAAATCATGAAGTTTATTTGTACTTACTTGGGTGTCCCATCTTTTCTGCATCAAACTACGAATATATTCCTTGATGCCTTGTTTAAAATCACTGTAGGGAATGGTAAGATGTGACATTGGTTTATCAAGAGCTGCTTTAGCTGCAGCATCAGCTCGCGTGTTTCCAGCAATATGTGACAAACGAACAAAGGACGATATCGTATTGGCAAGTAGCAAGATTGTTAAAAAGTTCTAAAATATCAAGTATTAACGGGTGATTCGAGAGGACAGTCTGGAGTGCCTGTAGGCATGATAAAGAATCTGAGAAAATGATGCAGTGTTTACATGCAGTTTGTTTCTGAATATAAAACAATGCTGTTTGAATGGCTTCAGCTTCAGCAGTAATTATAGAGCTGTTATCTGGTAATCTAGAAGAAATAGTTTTTGAACCAATGATGGTGGTACTGGCAACTTCGCCACCATCCTCGGATCCATCTGTGAAGATGGAGCAGTGAGAATTGTATTTAGAGCGTAACTGGACATATTCTTGTCGAAAATTACCTGGTTTGTATCAGATTTTTAAAAATTAGTAAATGTAAGGTCTACTTCTGGTTTGACTAAATGCCAAGGATGCGTAGACAGTAATCGGTAGGGTGCAATAATGGCAAGGTCAATATCAGCTGCTGTTATATGCGGTTGTAATCTGATCACCCGAGTTGGCACCAGCTTCGGTTTAGTATGGAATAATTCCTCCTAGTGAGGATTAAAAATGCAATCATATGCTGGATTTGCCGGGTTTGATTTTAATATTGTGATACATTGTAGCGCAAGTTTATCCCGCGACAAGAATTGTTAAAATCGTCCACAAATAAAGATCCATCAACTGAATCATTCAAAACCTTTGAGAGACTGTTTATCATGATACTAAATAATGTTACAGACAAAATACTGCCTTGTGGGACACCCTGATCCTGATTATAATGGTCAGACAGGGTTGAGCCCACTCGGACTTGAAATTGCCCGTCTGTTAAAAACTGTGATATAAAATGAGGCAAACGGCCTCTAAATCCAAAATCATGTAAGTCCTTTAGAATGCCATGCTTCTAAGTAGTATCATAGGCTGTATCAAGATCGAAAGAGACTGACACTACATGTTGTTTATTTACAATAGCATTTTTCAGAAAGGATTCTAATCGTACTAAATGGTCAATAGTACTTCGATTTTTTCGGAAACCACATATGTGTAATTAGATTATAGGTTTCCAGATACCAAATTAATATATTATTCACCATTCGTTCCATGGTTTTACATGCACAACTTGTTGAGCATATAGGTCGATAGTTAGAGGGATCTGTATGATCCCAGCTTTGGTATTGGGGCTACAATGGCATTATCACAAGAAAAAATACCCATATATACAAAATATACAATTTTGTATATTTGGTATTTCCAAAATATACAATTTTGTATAGTTGGTATTTCCAAAACTATACAATTTTGTATATATGGTTAGATTTTACCACTGCTTCATTCAATTTCTTCACCCCTTATAGAAGGTTTCACATAATATGTGGTTGCAAAGTTTACTAATGATACCGAACAGTATTATTATTGCATGTGACAATAATGCTTTAAAACTTTTTTCATTATGACAACTATATGATGTTATGAAATAATTTGTATTTCGTTATGTTTTACATAAGAAATAGAACATTTGTACAGATCTTAATAACAGTTTGATCAATATAAAATGCCAGCTGTTTATGATCTATACATACAAGTAGTTGAAAGTATTTTTAAACATTGATGTTTATCGTTCCAAAGCTCTGTTCCCCAGCTCAGTTCATCATTGTTTACGAGAACGTTTTTAATATGGGCAATTTTCTTCTTTCGGGACATTGGAGCAGTCATAATATTCATAACATCATAAATATTAAGATTATTGGCAATTTTAACAACTTTAGTACTCCATGAATTTTTACAAAGTAACCAGTTCTTCATCAAAGCGTTACAAGTACTGTTATTTAATCTTGGGGTAGTCTAAAAACATTAGCATGTAATGTAATAAACGGGGAGGAGAGACCCATGTCTCCATTAGTGGCTATACTGGAGGTACCGTTACTAACACCAAGAAATAATTTACAGGCTCTATTTTGGATTAGATTAACGTTTTATCCTCATATACCAGAGCCATAGAACATTACCGGCTCAACAAGACTTTCATACAGTTTCATAAAAACATCATAAGACATACACCCAACAGAATAAGACAAAGCATGGCTGGCAGAATTGTACAACTCTTTCACAGTTTCACATATCCAGATGCTCGTCAACCCGTAGTCCCAGATAACGATATGATTCTACATAGACCAGTGTTTGCCCAGCGTAGAGGAATCTGGTTAATCTGTATCACTTAACGAGTTTGAATAGCTTACTCTGCCAACAGTCGAGAGCAGCACAGTAATTAGTAGTTTAGACCAGGCGAATACATTGGTCACACTTGACTGTTACAGAGGAAGTTTTTTTTATGGATGCGTCACGTGTTTCAAAAGAGATGACCATTATCTAAGTAAAATACTTCTAAGATCATAAAGGACATAACATTTAATAAAGTGAAATTCATTTTCGACAAACTTTTATGAACAAATTTAAAACAGTGCGGGCAGATTCTATTTTCTAAAAGGGTTGGGGGGTTGTAAATCGTCCTGTTTCGATCCAGATCTAAAACTAGCTAAAATGCGACGGTGGTCCCTGTATTTAAAACATAAGGGGCAACAACGTTACGATCATGAAAGTTCTTAATGTATTGCCCTTAACGTTATGTTTATCGTTCCAAAGCTGTTCTCCAGCTCAGTTCATCTTTGTTCACGAGAATGTTTTTAATATGGGCAGTTTTCTTCAATCGGGACATTGGAGCAGTCATAATATTCATAACATCATAAATATTAAGATTATAGGCAATTTTAACAACTTAGTACTCCATGAACTTTTACAGAGTAACCATTTTCTTCATCAAAGCGTTACAAGTACTGTTATTAAATCTTGGGGTAGTCTAAAAGCATTAGCATGTAATGTAACAAACGGGGAGGAGAGACCCATGTCTCCATTAGTGGCTATACTGGAGGTACCGTTACTAACACCAAGAAATAATTTACAGGCTCTATTTTGGATTAGATTAACGATTTATCTTCATATACTAGAGCCATAGCACATTACCGGCTCAACAAGACTTTCATACAGTTTCATAAAAACATCATAAGA